AGGACGCCAGGGCGACAGAAGCTTGGTTTGGTGTAGAAGTAAATAATTCTTATTTCTTATTTCAACCGTTGCATATATTAGCTGCAACATATGAATCAAGATGCTATGACCAAAAAACTTTGATTGACAGATGACCCTTGATATATGATTGGCCGAATTTAGGTGTTCAGGCTGACGTATAACTAACTGGCCTGCATAAGATAATGAGAAAAAACCCCACAGATTTTAAGACAGGATTTTTTTTTTTTTATAGAAATTTCCTATATTTTGGGACAATATGGTCTGATAAAGAGTACATTTATATACATGTTTAAGCCAGAATGATTTGACATTTAAATATGATTTCCCTACGACTTTAAGTAAAATAAATGATTTTTGTGTATCCATCAGCCTCTCAGCTCCAGAGTAGAGACCGACCTGCCCTGCTGCAGTCTGTGTGTTTCAGGGCGAAGGAATAAGCAGGAGAGTGAGTAAGAATGGAGAACCACCCAGCACGCTGTTAGATCCTGCGGGCACCGTGGAGAAATGCCTTTAAAGATCATGTTAAATGTCAGAGACACTCAGACGCGCAGCAGTAGGTGCTCCGTCCCTCTCTCTACAGCCAAACCAATTTACTGCAACACCACAGAAAGATCAATAAATCCTCACACACATCCACACACACACGTATAACCGTCGCCACACATCCAGCTCACTGTTTGCTTCCCTGGCAGAAGAACACAGAACACCCCCACCCAAAGAAAAAAAAAAAAAAACACAGCTGCAGCCCACACAGGTGAGCATGATCTGCCGTTTGGGTCAAAACACAAACAAGCCTGAGACAAACTGAGGAGTAAGAGGTATGACGGATACGAAAGGATTGCTTCAAATCAAGAGGAAGGGGGGCGCCCACAGAAGCCGTAAAAAGGAGAAAGTGGCCATGATGCGGCCAGAGCTCAAAGGAGAATTAAACAGATGAGAGGGTGATACGTAAGGGGACACAAGCGGTCTGCTGGGGAGCTTTCTCCGTCTTCTCCCCGCCGCCCCAACTGCTCATCTGACAGGTTCATTCTGGACCCGCCCCAGCTCCTGGCAGGCCGTCCACCGACCCTCATCCCTCCTGATTCCTTGGAACCACCCAAGCTCCACGCCGGATCCGTGTTGGAAAGCGGCGGCGTTTCGTTAAGGGGAATTAACCACTGTGCTCGTTAGCTAATTAGCCCCCATGTCTGCGGGGCTGCTGAGCACATTCCAGACAGAGGGAAGTCATTAGGCGGATTTATCTGCGGCTGCTGCTCTCTGGCACGGAGCCGCCTTGGTCCAGCTCATGGTTCTGATGAGCTAAATGTTTGGTTTTCAGCCCCCGCCCCCCCAACAGCCGGATAAACCGAGTCTCTGTTCCAGAGAGCAGGTGGGCTGTTGTTTGCGAGCGTGTGCAGCCGACGGTGGTCTCCTCGGGCCTGGCCTGTGCTGAGGAGCAGGTGGTTGACTCCTGAGACACCTGCTCTGCTGGTGGGTCCGAGCGAAGCCTGGGAGAACCTCCTGGCTCGCACACAAACGCAACTCCGATATATGAGAGTTGGCAAACACATTGGTTGGAGCGTTGCTGCAGGTACGCATCTACACACCCGCAGGCACAAATCCCAAACAGCTGTTAAAACAAATCACACGTCTGAAGATGAAGGAAGGAGAAGATAATCTTTTAAATCCTAGTCCACAGCGGTCCAAAAAGCCCAAATCCCACTTTACCATAGTTGTGATGTTAAGACAGCTGCTTGTGTGTAATTCCTGCTTTTCAAGGTGGGAGCAAGAAGTCCTCCCTCCATCCTTACCTCCCTTTGATCTGCCTCTGCGGGGCGCCACCAGCCTTGTCCTGGCCCAGGCACAGCGCCAGCACTCGGAGGAAGATGTGGAAGGAGTTGGCAGAGCGATAGAGCTGGGTGTGACCCGGGGAGCGCAGGGCAGCGGGGGAGCAGCAGCTGCGCGCCTGCTCCAACAAAGCCAGAGGCGTCTTGCACAGCGATCCCAGGCCTGCCACCCCCAACCACGGCACGGTGAACGAGGCGTTCTGGAGAGGGGCGACAGATCAGGGCGTTAGTTCACAAAAAGCGACCAAAACCGTTTGGTTTCCAGGTTTTGCTCTTACCAGGTTCTTGCTGTAGTACTCCCAGAGTGTGGAGACGGCGGCGGTGCTGGGCTCCCACAGCAGACTCAGACTGAGGCAGCAGTGGACATGCATCCTGACCTGTTCCTCTGCAAATCCACCCTACGGTTAAAGGCCAGATCCATTTAGCTTAACCATCCAATGGATACAGATTAATGAAAATAAATCTGGAGTCTGCTAACCCTCGGGTTACAGGTCATCTTCAGAAGCCCCTCCACAAACGTCCAGTTATCCCCCAAATGATCCTGAAATCACAAATAACAGATTTATAATAACATTTATTCTCCTTTTTCATTAATTAAACCAAAACTACATGTTGGATATTTTAGGAACCTTGTATGTATCACAGTCCAAACTAATGATGTGGCACATTAGACACTTCTGATGTAACTTTACTTTGATGACGTCTTATTTCAAACTGCTGGTGAAGGTTCTCAGTCATCCAGGTCATAGTCATTCCAAAAAACAAAATTTTTTTTTTTATTATTTAAATCCACTGGACTTTGTTTCCAAGTTTGAAGACGTTTTGCTTCCCATCCATTCATTTCATTTCAATTTTGAATTGAAAAAGCTTCTTGGATGGGAAGCAAAACGTCTTCAAACTTGGAAACAGAGTCTAGTGGATTGTTTT